CAAGGCCATGCCACCGCTGCTGAAATGCCGTCCTTGACTCCGACGCCAGCTCTGGACTGGCCTGTAGCAAGTGGGCAATATGGGGCTGCTGCTGCTCGAGCAGAGCGCGGTTGACAACCTTGTTGAAGATGGAATCCGTGCCCACGGGTCGAAACTTGCCATTGGCCTTCTCCAGGATAGTGTAGTTGATGGAGCAAAGGGCATGTCGAATCGACTCGGGCACGGTGTTGTTGGCAATGTGGTGAAAGATCTTGTTCAAGGCAACCTGAGGACCTCCAGTGGCGGTGGTGGGGCACTGAGGCGCGTCTCCATCAGGAGGAGCAGTCGGGTTGCTGGTAGAACCCTGGCGTGGGCCCAAGACCTGACTGAAGTGCTCCTTGATGCGGTAGATGGAGGCAAGAAGCTCACCAGACCAACCATAGGGGTCGGTGACACCCTTGGTGGCCGCCAACGCCTTGGGGAGCTCGCCCTTGGTGAAGGACACGGTTGGGGAGCTCGCAGCCGTGGCTGGTGCCAGTGTAGACGTGGAGGTGGGTGTCGAAGCAATGTACGGGGTCAGCCCGGGCGGTACCAAGAGGTCGCGCACGGCCTGAACCTCAGAATTACCAATCACGGCACGAGCCTTATCGGCATCAAATGCTTTGGCAATCTGACCTCGGTTCAGACGGTTCGTGACGTGGTTTGCCCAGGCTTCGTCCGCCAGGTCCGGGTCGCGGACGAGTGACCTGAGGCTCTGGTCGACTGCGTCGTTCGGGTGGGCGCCCGCGCCGGCGTTCAGCTGTCCTCGACGGCTCTGCTTGCGTGCGACTGCCTTGCGCATGGCGTCCACGACCCGACCTAGTTGCCCCGTCACAAGCCAACGGAGACGATCGTGAAACATATTGCGCAGGTCAATCGTAGACAGTGCGGTCGAGGGAGCAGACAACAACATGCTAGGCAAGGCCAAAATCAAAGCCCAGCACATCTCTCGCTCTTCAGCGGTATAGTCCGAGTGGACGGCAGACCAATACAGCTGGCTCAGGGTGGCAGCCATCAGCTTGGTCTCGGTGGCGTTGGATGGGTAGCGGCTGCGCTGCATCAGTGATGCCGGGCGAGCTTCAGCAGCTCAC